TCCGGTGTCCGATCGCAACCGGAAGTATATATTTAGATTCGTCTCGACGAGTCCTTTCGATCCATATATACATTGTGGGGTCTAAAACTTAAAGTAAATTTTAACTTCCGGTCATCTCAAAATCGGAAGTGAAATTTTGTACCAAAAGTATATCTTGACAATTTCATACGTAATACTAATAATATTCCGAAAAAATATTTTAATTATCTAATATGGTTTTTGAGTAAAGTGGTGGACAAGAAAAGGGCTTAGCGTTTTAGAATATAAGATATATAATTAAACTATAAAAATAATCTTATATATCATAAAAAATGTTAATTTCATATTTACAATTAAAAAAAACTAAAAAAATAAAATAATTTTAGTAAATTGGTATCCTATTTGCAAAATAACTGCTTGTTCCAACATATAGTTGTTAGGGCTATTCATAAAAAAATTGGAAATACAAATTTTGTATTTCTAAATAATAATTCTACTTCTACATATTATAAGACCGTATTCTAAATAATATACTCTACCAAAATATCTTTGTTTTATGATAGGATAAATAAAAATTATAAAAGCGGGTTTTTTAAAAAGCGGCAATATTACCTTTTTCTTTATAGCCAATTTTTCGAGACTTATTTTCACACTCCCGTGTGACATTTTAATGCACAAACGCCATACTACTTTCATGAATATTTCAAACAATCACTGTACCTGCTATAAACTCCAAATTATTCAAAAATAGTTTTATCTCACTATTCTGTACGGAATCAACACACAAGAGACGTCCCTTATTCGTCCTCTATATTTACAACAGTTTTTAGTCTAAGTGATGGCAGCAAAAAGCGGTTCTATTAAAATATCAGAAGTAGACTTAGATATTCACGTAATTGAAATAAAATTATCTTTTAAATAAATTAACCATTACGGCTTTTTATGGAAAAGAAAATTGTTTTATAAATAAATAATACACAAAACTGTTAAAATATTGGTATGCTACTCTACTCTTAACACCTTCACTACTCTGGAGATAATAAAGGAAGACTAGTAATCTTATAAAGAAACAATAAATTATACATTAACAGCTGTTTAAGCATGAATGACAGTAGTTAACCAATTATGTGCATAATATATTTTATAAAATCTGATCAAATAAATGCCAAAGGAATAAAACCTATGTCTAATATGCCTATTACCAAAGAAAGCCAGCTAGAATACGATAACTAGGGAGTAGTAGCCATTCTGGACATGGTATAATTAATATTGTCAAACATTTTGTCCTAATGTCCTGACATATCTAATAGTGGCAAAAGAAAAAACAGGGCTACTTATAACTCAAATGTAGTATAGATAGATATCTGAGTAAGTTTCTCTTAACCCATGTAAATTAAATATATAATATTTTAAATGGTAAATTGATTTTTAAAAATCCAAATAACAACTATAACAACTTACTTCCTACAAGTCCAAAAACTAATGTCCCTTCGCAAGACTCCAGATTTTGGATATAGATTAATAGGACTCCCCGGGAAATATAGATGTGGCTTGCGACAACACTTTAATAATATCAATTACCAGTGCCCTTAGACGTTAAAAAGTCGAGGCTATTTGTTTGAATTAAATAGAATTTATGCTCAGAAATAGAGTTGAGAATAATAAATACCATCCTTGGTAAGAACGTGTTGGAACGCGTCGGCAGAAAATGCCCACAGGGGGCAGTTCTGTCCTCTTTGCTGTATAATCTGGCGATGGACGGACTAATAGGGACTTAGAGGCAAACGTTTATAAAACAATTGGATATGCGGATCATTTGGTAATCCTCTCACGACGAAAGTACAATACTGTAGACAAAGATTGTATAAAAGAGGACATAGTACTAGTGAGACAATGGACTTATTTGGCGGGGCTAACTATAAGTCGTCGCAGATCCACCATAGTTACTTTCACACACAGATGTAAATTAGAGCGATTAGGTCCTCTTAAACTGCAGGAGCAATAAATTCAGCTAAAGGAAATTCAGAATAAAATTCAGAGATAAACTATGTCGAGGTTATATAAACTCAAAACTTATCTAGAACTGGCAATTAGAAATAAGCAGTGCAGTGCCAGCTCTTATAAAGGAGAAAAGCATATATGAAAATAAACAGGATTAAAACGGATATGCTGCAGTGGGTAAACATCATGGTGATCACACTTTCCATTACCTTTGTAGCGACGATAAGATGCATTAATACACTTCAAACAGTTGCAAAAGCCAAATTCAGCTATAAGCAGAGAATTTCGTGAATGGGAATAACTGATGCCATGCGTCTAACAGCAGCTATTGGGGCACTACTAGGCCTGCCTCTTTGCAAGAAAGGGACAGGGCGTATGAGTATTACAAGAGCTATGATGAAGAATATATTTCATACAGAACTGGATCAAATGGCAAAAAGATATAATTTTAAAAATTTAAGCATGTTGTCTATTCCAAACAGGAATATACGAAAACATAAGAAGTACCAAAATTAACTGAGTAAAAACTGGAATATAGACGGATCCAAACCTAGAAATGGTGTATGAGAAGGAATATACTTAAACAATCCAAGAATTAGGAAAGACTTTAGCATGGAGAACTACACCGTTTTTTAAGTTTCTTTGTTTTTGCACCAGAGATTTATGTAGTACTGCAATATTCAATAGAAAAAAATGAGAAAACCCTTAAAAAACAGCAGATCCATATACTGTCTAACAGTCGAGCGGCACTGAAGGCACTGGCGTGTCAGGAAGTAACGTAAAGGCTGGTGTGGGACTGTAGGACTGTAAAATAAGAAAACCGGCTGAACTGTGAGACGAGATTAAGGTTGAGCATATCTGAGTACCCGGAAATTATAGCATCCAGAACAACTAAAAAGCCTATCAACTTGCTAAAAGAGGATCTTCGAATGTATCAAAAGGACCGACTGTGACTATAGGAGTGCTAAAAGCTGCAGTAGGTAGGGTTGTAGGGGGCTGGATTCGAAAAAGTCACAAGCGATATTGAGAGAGAATCCCAAAACTAAAATATGGTAAAATTTTTACTGGTAGACCATGTGCTAAACAGAATAGAAGAACTGCTTATATGGGTGGAAACAAACTAAGAATAGTAACAGGAATATTGACTAGGCATGTACCAGTAAAAAAATTCTCAAACAAACCAGACACTCATACTGTAAACTGTAACTCCAGACTGTACGATAAGAAAGCAGAAATTTTAAAGTGTGTATTATTCCATTTCGAGGCGCTGAATGGCAAAAGACAAAAACCATATATAATCAATTAAGCGGAGATCTTGGTATAGTTAGGACATACCAAACAGAAAATAGAATGAGTTTTAGCTTTAATGATAACAGGGATCTTCTTGGATCAGATGGGTATAGGCAAGGAAAAAACACTCCATCTGTTAAAGCCCAAACATAGCAGCAGTTGAAGACCTGATTTACTAGATTGAAGAGTATATTGAAAAAATATTTTTTAGCATAGACTTTCTACAATAGACTATCGTAGAGTCATTTTATTTATGATCTAATAACTTGTTAAATCTAACTAAAAAATTTAAAAAAAAATTGTAACTGAAAACCATTTTAACAAATTTGCAAGATATAGTTAACAGTAAACTCACTGTTTATTTACATCTTTGTAAGTAGAAAGATGTTGCTTTATTTGTTTTATTCAATCTAACAACGTGATTCAATTACAGTTCTAAAGAACTGTTGAGAGCAGTGGTATAGAAGATTTAAGTCTCTATGATGGTTGATAACCTTCTGAGAGAAGACGGCACCTAATGGAGTATGTTGAAAAAATGATATTAAAAGTCATGTCACGATTACTCCCCAAGTAAGTGCTTTAAATAACGGATTTATATTTAGTGATTATCAAATCAGCAACCATAATTTAACTGCAAACTAAGAACATAAATATTTACTCGCATGGATTCCTTTACATCTTGGAATCTCTGGTAATGAGAATGTGGCAATATTGGCAAAAGTGTCAATCTTTTACCAAGGCCACAAACTATAAAATCCAGAAGAATTCCACATCTAAATGTAAAAACAATAATCTAGAATCCAAAATTTAAAGGTGGACGAGTGGATTGACTGACACAGAAATTGTGAGATATAAAACATTAATTATTTTAAAAGTCAAAAAATTTACATTGACATCTGACAAATACTATGAATCCTTAATTCTTACCATGACAATTATCCTTAGAGTTTGACGTATATATAAAAGAAGGGGATCGGATTATTCTCATAAAAGTTTATTAACTGAGGAAGTCTTACTTTTAAATAAGAACAAATAAAATTTGTTAACTACACAAGTAAATTGATATCAAAATATTTTATGGATGCAAAATTTAGAAGAATGGTTTGGTACCTGTGGTGCTACCTAGAAACAACAGAACAACAATCATAAGACAAACTTAGTTATAAGGTTAAAGGTAAAAAACCAGCTTTGCCATAAATTGGAAACATTTCTAAAAAAAACTGCATCGTAGTTATAAATAATATCTCTGTTGGTAATAGTGATCCTTTTATTACTAAAATTTCCCAGAGAGTAGATCACGTCATATTTGTAACAAATATCTGCTGTAGTATTTATTGACGATTAAAATAAGATATAATTAAACATAGTGTGGCAACTAATATCACGCTCTGTTATATTAAATATTGTAACACGTAATGGCTGGAGTAATTTTCATCCACAAACAAATCACAAAAACAAGTTAAAATAAATATGTCAATATGACACCTTAATTACTAAAATTTAATAAAAATTTAAGCATATTTAGTACTTATAATATGTACATGTGCCTATATTTGATAGGTAAACTACTTCTGATATTTTTGTAAGTCGTATTTCGCTCTCATCACCCCGCCTATTAGTTCCTTAAGTTACTTTATACACAACTTTCTTGTTGGCATCCCATCAGCGGCGTTCTTACAGTAACTACCTCCCTGTGGTAGATGCCTGGTTTATGGGGGAAAATTACGGACGCGGGGGACACCATTGGGGAAGTTTTGAGGGGTGGCGGCCGACGGTTGTGGTCGATTTGAGCGTAAATTGTGGGGTCGTCTCTGTGTAGTAACGTGCCGTACTGATTTCCGCCGTTTTTGATGGGCTCCAGGGAGTTCGGTCTCACGTGGGATAGTTCGGCGTAGGTCACTTCGTTGTCAATCTGAAACCAAATGCATATATTTTATTTATTAATAAAAATGGTTTTGTTCGTAATTTATTTTTAGTAAAATTGTATAAGTGCTAGCGTGCTTTTTATCAATATCTGCAAATATTCAGTAAATGTATATATGATACTAATAATAAAGTCAATAAATTGATATTCCCTAAAAAGTGGTCAACAAATCGTTAAAATAAACCGGAATTTATATACGCTAAACCCGTTTGACTATTCTACTGACTGCGCCACTTAAGTTTTAAAATTTTAAAACTCACAAAATATTCTAAAACCAAAACAATTATTCTTAACAGAGACATATTCTATGCTGATTTTAATATTAATTTACTTTACATTTTTTTGTGTCTATGGATGTGTGCATATTTAAATACTTGTGTAGACAAAACTATTGATATATGTTTATTAGACGAAACATCTTTAATAAAAAAACATTATTAAAAATCCTTTATAAATGGTATATAATTTAAAAACCAAATCGGGCTGTATCACAGAACGTTTTTGGAATCCATATTCCATCATCAGTGTCCTAGAAAATATATAACCAGTCTATTAAAAAGAACGTGAAATTTAAATTTTGACCAAGTTTAATGCAAAATGTGGTTAATACTTACTAGGTATACATGTATGTAGCCACTAAATATGTGGGTAAAAACCTGTTAAAAATGAGGTCTGAGGTCTCCAAAAAACCCAACCCTGACGGAGTTGTGTGGATGAGTAAAATAAGAACCGAATAGTTTAGGAGGGAGGTGACAAATAATCTACTCTGAATTTAGAGGTGTCGAAAAGAAGCATGGAAAAGGTTAGGTATAGGAGTCAGACTTGAAGTTTGGGTTGAATAGAAAGAAGTGGGGAAAAATAGAGAGTATGATGTATTGAAAGAGAGGTTTTGGAGTGAACTAAGGAAGATGAGTATTTGACGAACAATTAATGATAAATATAGATTTTGTTGTGGAAGAGAATTAAAAATGTAGGATATGAGAAGAGTTGGCGATGGAGAGGAACGAAGTCTCGATTTAATGAGACATGACGATTAATGTAATTTGGGCTTTTTTGTTTTTCTTCAAGAATTTCGAGGTCTTCGTATAAGTCCAGTTTGAAGAAGTTTTTTTGGGGATATTGTGAATAAGTGAAACGTCTTCTGGGATATTGAGGGTGTGGTTGTGTTCTTTGGGTTGTCGAGAGAAAGTGGAAGTATTTTCTCTTTTTATGTACTCTAGAGAGCGTGAAGATAGTGATCTACATGTTCTACCTATGTCAGTGGCATTACAATCTGAACATTTTAGTCTATAATCTCCACTACGGTTCATATAATTGATGGAATCTTTGCAATTAGATATGTGCTGAACCAAATTATTGGGTACTTTAAAATAAACATGGATATTTTCAACCGAACGTTGGATGAGATTTCGAATATTTACAGAAAGACTTTCGTGATGATATGGGAGTGAAACGTAATTGGGTTTGGTGGTAAGGTCTCTGGGTAACGCAGTCTCCTGCAGGGTCTGAAGGCGTCTTTTGTAGATGAGCTTTTTTGTAGTTTAAATCTGAATGTGGAATGGTGTCTAGGCGATGGATGTAACTATGAAAAACTGCGTATTTATGTGACATGGGATGGTTAAATGAAAATGGTATTACCTGGTCAATCTGTGTGGGGTTCCTATAGATACTGAAGTCGAAGTGGTCATTTAATCTGGTAATGGTTGTTCACGCCTCTATCTAATTTAAGTTTTTTATGCATTTTACAATCCGGCAACATAGTAGCGTAGGAAGATATATTATGCCATATGTGAAGATAAGGCGAGCCCCTAAAAGCACTCCAAGGGCGACAGCATCATTCAAATATGAGAAGTCGAGGCCGGTGGACACCAGCGAGCGAAACAATACTTATTAGCGTTTTATTTATGTATTGTTAATTCAATAAAGTCAGTTTTCTCACACGGAGTTTGATTATTTACCAGCGGCACACGCGAAGTGCATATCAAGTTACATCCATTGGTCCATCGATCCGAATCATCAAATTCTTGTGTTAAAACAGTGTAAATTCACCGGCTAGAAACTCATATTTGTGTCATCAAATTAGCGGGCGATATAACAGCAGTGCATCATAGTGGCTCAAGCGCGTTATAGACATTCGAACGTTATTCTTAAGACAGTTACATAAGTGGACAACTGTGGTTCTTAAAACTTGTGAAGAACTACTCTACGAGTTGATGCGAAGATTTGTGGCGCCACGCAAGGCCAGCTGTTAGAATAAACATAAAAATACTTTGGTGAGCATACCCATTTCACTACATTCCCTTATTTATCAGTTTTTTGTATCTTTATTCTGCACATGTGGTAATTCTTAGAACGTTAGGGTCGAATATCAAGCGATTTATAATCTGTTTATGTTTACTGTTTAATTCATTATAAAACTATGGAGAATTTAAAGCGAAAAAGGGGCGGTTTTAAATGCAAACTCACAATATTTTCGAAATATATATTAGCATTGAATGATAAGGTAACTAAGGGTGAAACAATTTCAGATTTAGAAGTATTACAAACTATAGAAATGGTAAATAATATAGGACATTTACAGGGCGAATTCGATGAGGTTCAGGGTCAAATAGAAAATACGGTTCAATTTGAATTATTAGAGGATGAATATACGGAGCGCGAAGAATTTTACAACAAATATTATTCACAATTAGCGGTAGCGCGAAAAATCATTCGCGATAATCAACAAGTAGCGTGTATAGAAGACGATAAAGCAAGTGAGCGCTCTAAGAATTCATATACAGGGATTGAGCTTAAACCTATCGAGTTACCAAAATTTGATGGTAATTATAATAATTGGTTAGATTTTGCAGATCTTTTTGAATCTTTAGTTAACAGAAATGAGTACTTAGACAATATAAGGCGTTTTCATTATTTACGAAGTTCATTACAGGGCGGTGCGGCGCAGGTAATACGAACATTAGAGTTTACCGCCGAAAACTATGCAGTTGCGTGGAAATTAATTAGGGAAAGGTACGATAATAAGAGATTATTAATTTCCAATCATGTTAACGCATTATTTAATATAGAGCCTATACATAAAGAGTCATCTAATAGATTGCGACAATTAGTTGATATTTTTTCGAAACATTTATACGCGTTAAAGCAGCTAGGGCTACCTACTGATTCATGGGACATACTCCTTATTCATATTATTTCTTGTAAGTTCGATACATCGACTTTACGCGCATGGGAGAATAGCAAAACGCATAATGAAATTCCTAGTTTTGAGGATTTTAAAACTTTCTTAAAATCAAGGGCGGACCTCTTAGAATCACTTGAGGTAAATCAAGCTGAAAAGCAAAATATACGGAATATTTCTCAGGCGGGCGCATATTCACGGAATACGAAATATTCACAAAACATTCGCGGTCTACACTCAGCACAGGGAACTTTAAACAAATCGGATAATACACAGTGTTGCCCTATTTGCAAAAGGGAACACACCATTTATCAATGCGGCGAATTTTTAAAACTTTCATCTAGGGACAGGTTTGATAAAGTAAGACAGGTCAATCTTTGCACGAATTGTCTTAAACCTGGACATTTCTATAAGCGGTGTAGACAATCAACATGCAAGAAATGCGCTTCAAAACACCATACGTTATTGCATCCAGATAGGTCAAGCGAACAGAACACAGCTTTAGTTCATCAACCGGTAGAAAACGCGAGCGATATACGATCTGTAGATAATATACAAGGTATTTTAAACACTACCAATTTGTCAGTTTCGGCAGTTAGCGCTACAGATCAAACTATACTGTCCACAGTATTAGTTAATATTTTTGACGGCCAAGGCAAGGCATACATAGTGCGAGCTTTGTTAGATTGCGGTTCACAAAGCTCATTCATAACCGAAAATTTATGCGATAGACTTAGATTAAAAACGACAAGCGCGAACATATCAGTCATGGGCATAAATAATATTGCGTCTCCCGTTCGATACAAATGCGAAGTAAATATACAATCGCGTAGCGATATAAGTTTTCATACAATTCTAGGTTGTTTCGTAATACCAGAAATTACGGGGTGCGTACCGGCATCTGAAATAAACATTAGCGATTTGCAGATACCTAAACATTTAAAATTAGCGGATAGTCACTTTCATAAACCACAAAAAATCGACTTATTGATAGGAAGTGACCTATTTTGGCAGATACTTGGTGCAAACAGAATTAGTTTAGGTAAAAATAAACCATTTATGCTGGAAACAATGTTTGGCTGGATCATAGCAGGGCGGTATATCAGCCAAAACAAAGCATCAGAAAGGCGAATAACTAAGTGTAATTTTACAAACACAATCGAAGTTACAGAACAGCTAAGTAAGTTCTGGGAACTTGAAGAGGTTTTCGATGGAAAACCTGCACTCTCGGGCGAAGAAATTGCATGCGAAAAACATTTCGAAGATACAGTAAAACGCGACGCGACAGGCAAATTCGTAGTGTCATTGCCATTCAAGGAACCGATAAGCTCACTCGGTGATTCATTTCGTCAAGCAAAAAATAGGTTTTTAAATCTTGAGCGTAAGTTGAATAAAGATGCCAATCTTAAAACTCTTTATAGCGAATTCATCCGGGAATATGAAGAGTTAGGTCATATGAAAAGTCTATGCAGAATTACGAAAGCGGCAACAGATTTTAGTGGAAATACTACATTTTATTTTATGCCACATCATCCAGTATTAAAAGAAAGTTTTTTGACGACACGTTTGCGCGTTGTGTTCGATTGTAGTGCGCCAACTACAAACGAAATTTCATTAAATAGTATTCAAATGGCCGGACCAACCTTACAAAATGATTTACTCTCCATTTTACTACGTTTTAGAACACACTTATATGTAGTTAGTGCGGATATAGAAACGATGTACCGTCAGGTATCGGTTGCAGATGATCAAAAATCCTTACAATGTATCTTATGGCGAAATAATCCGGAAGAACCGATTGAAATAT